TCCCTGGGGTCCCCAAACCCCCCGGACCCCCCCCACGGCACATCCCGCCCCTCCTTCCCCACCTTTCCCGGGGGTTTTGGGGTCCCCCCACCCCTCCTACACCCACCCGGGCGGTTTGGGGGGTTCCCTGTTCCCACCCGGGAGGTTCGGGGGGTCCTTTCCCCCCTCCCTGGCAGGTTTTTGGGGGGTTTTTTGGGGGAGTCCGTGTCCCTGCGCCACCGCCCGGCGACAGGTGCGGCCGCGGTGACATTGGAGCGGCGACAGGGTGGGGACAACGGGGGGGTCCTGGCTCGGGGGGGGAGGGGGGATTATCCTGAGCTTGGGGACCCCCCAAAACCCTCCCTGGCACCGCCAGCTCCTCGCTCTGCTCTCGGGGGTCCTGGGGTGGGGGGTCTCACCCCGAGAGTCCCTCGTGCTTTCTCCTTAATTATCCCATTATCCCAACTGAGGGGCGGGGCCGGGGGGCGGATCCCGTGTCACCTCCCCCCTCCCGTGTGTCCCCCCTCCCTCCGTGTTACCCCCCCCCCCACGACTGTGCCCGTGGGTTGGGGTGACCGCGTGGGTTTGAGGATGGGGGGGGAAGGGTTTATTCCTGCCCCAAAATCCCCCCCGGGACGTGCAGGGATGGGCACCCCGCTGCCACCTGGGGGTGGGGACAGCCGTGGGGGATGTCACCTCACCTGGTGGCACTCTGCACCCTGAAACAGTCACCCCGAAACACCCTAAAATACCCCAAAACAGAGCCCCCCAAAACAGAGCCCCCCCTCTTTGGGGGGACACATCCGGGGGGGTCATACAGGGACAGGGGCTGTGACATCAGGGGGGGAAAGGGGATGGCACGGGGACAGGTGCCACTGTGTTGGGCTGTCCGTGGTCATGAGGGGACATGGGCCCTGTCATTGAGGGATGGACCACTTTGGGGTGGCCTTGGTCACAGAGGGACAGGTGCCACACCACTGTGGGGACCATGGTGACACAGGGACAGGTGCCACACTGCCAAGGTTTCTGTGATTGTCTGGGGACAGATGCCACTACTTTGGGGTGCCTGTGGCCATGTGGGGACATGTGCCACACCTGCGAGGTGTTCGTGGGGACAGGGGCCACTACCCCTGTCAGGAGCTGTAAGGTCATCAGGGGTCAGGTGTCAACTGTGCAGGTGGCCGTGCTCATGTGGGGACAGGGGCCACTCCAGGAGGTGTCCCTGGTCGTGTGGGGACAGATGCCACTCCCTCAGGTGTCTGTGGTTGTGTGGGGACAGGGGCCATGCCAGTGAGGTGTCAGTTGTGTGGGGACAGGTGCCACTACCTCGAGGTGTCTGTGGCCATCCAGGGACAGGGGCCACACCACTGTGGTGACCATGGTCACGTGGGGACGGGTGACACACCATCAGGGTGTCCCTGGCCATGTGGGACAGGTGGCACCGCTGTCTGTGGTCGTACAGGGGGACAGCACTTTGGGATGTCCTTGGTCATATTGGGGACAAGTGCCACACCGTTTTGGGGTGGCCATGGTCACATGGGGACAGGTGCCACTCCCTCAGGTGTGTGTGGTGGCATGGGGACAGGTGCCACCCCATCAAGTGTCCAGGACCCTTGGGGACACCTGCCAAGCCACCAGGGTCCGATGGCCCTACAGGGTGCTGTGGTGGTGTCAGGGCACTGGTGCAGGGACACGTGTCACCCTCTGGGTGGGGACAGGTGCCACCTGTCAGGGTGTGCCCACTCCACGGGGTGGCCGTGCCACCTCTGAGAGGCACCGGGGACAAGGCAGTGACACCTCGGTGTCACCCCCCTGTCACGCAGCAAAACCCTCTGGCCTTCGCCGTGGTGATGTCCCCGAGCCCCTGGCAAGGACAAGGCTGCAGTGACACCTCGATGGCAGAGCCCCTGTCACTGTCCCCTCCCCAGCTGATGACACCAGACAAGGGGCAGCGCTCCGGGAGCGGCCACGTTATCTCTGTGGCTTTAAAACGGGACACAGCTCATGTCCCCGGGGGTGGCAGGGACAGGGATGTCCCCAGGGGTGGCCCTGCCGTGCCAACCGTGTTGTCGCACACCCCCAAAAAGGGGATGGCGGGACCGCGATCCCCCGGTGTGACCCCGCGGGCCTCAGTGGCGGGGAGGTGACAGTGCCGGGGCTTTGTCCCCGGGCCCGTTCCGGGCGCTCCGTCGCTCCCGGCCCTGGGTTGGCCTTCCC